AAACATGGCGTGTGTTTCAGAAAACCTCATTCAACTATGTTAATATGAGAAACCCCTCCTCAAGTTCAATAATTCAAGAAATCCTCATGAACTTTCTTATTTTACGTCCTGAAAGCCTACACTATTAGATCTAGCATGTCACATGACAAGCAAGTGACTGAAAAAGATAAAAATACTCATCAATCATAAATAATTATTCTAATCTTTTAGGATAAGAGAAAGAGAGTAGAAATGATGCAAAACTATTATAAATTGAAAATAGTTCTTTTTTTAAACTTATTGGGAGTATCTTTGCAATTGAATTGGTTAACTTTCAAAAGGATATTTCAGTTAGTTTACATTTTGAAATCATATCAAGCAGTCTAGTGACGAAAATGTGAAAGATTATGAGGATCTCGTGAGACACGCTATAGTTGAAGGAGAGTTCTCTCTAAATTTTAAAGTTGAGTTTCTATAATATGCCCAAACTTAGGGTTTGTTCTGAAATTAAAATAGTTGCGAGCGATTTTATAAGACATCCATCATAATTGAGAGGGACATTCTAAAATCTATAGTACTTATAAAAAACAACACCCATATCAAAACTTTTGGTTGCCCTTTTGCCCTCCAATCAAAGTTCTTGACATGTCGATGTTCCCTTATAAATTAAATTAGAGTGAAGGATCAATAAATATTCTTTATGCACAACTGCCCTAGGTCATATCCTGGCCATTATGTTTTAGTTACTCAATCATACTCTCTTTAAAAGTACGAGTTCGGAAAATCTTTTTTAGACAAATATACCCATTTATAGTTTGAACTACCTTATCTATAATCAAATTCTAATTTTCAATGGTCAATATTACCCTTCACTGTTTTGAATATTTTTTTATATCTTAATCTATCCTAATCATAATCATATCTTATCCTAATCCTATGTGAACCATGTTTAGCTTAACAATTTAAAAAAACTAATATTAATAAAATATATAAAACATAAAAATGATATTAGTTTGTTAAGATAAAGAAATTACAAGTAAATAACATATTATAATACATGTATTCTAAAAAACCATAACCCTTCACTATTTTGAATATTTTATTTATATCTTAATCTATCCTAATCATAATCATATCTTATCCTAATCCTATGTGAACCATGTTTAGCTTAACAATTTAAAAAAACTAATATTAATAAAATATATAAAACATAAAAATGATATTAGTTTGTTAAGATAAAGAAATTACAAGTAAATAACATATTATAATACATGTATTCTAAAAAACCATAAAAAGTTTTAAAATTGCAGAAAAGACCCTTAAAAGTTCAAATTTATAAAAATCATCCCAATGTCTCAAAACTTAAAATAAAAAACATGAAATTAAAAAATTTAACATCAGTTTGCAAAGAATTTAAAATTTACAGTTAACACCTCAATGTCTCAAAAATTATAGAAACACCCTCAAAAGTTTAAATTACAGACAATCACATTAAAATTCTAAAATAAGCACATTAAAATTCTAATATTTTAAAACTTACAAACAACACAGATGAATTCAAGAGATTACCATGATACACCTAAAATTTTTGATATTTAAATTTAAATTTTTTAATTAACAACCTAAAATTATAAAAAGCCACCCTAAAATTCTAAAATTTGTAAATAACATAAGATAAATTCAAGATATTACCCTTAGACACCTAAAAAATTAAAATTTGCTAAAATTAACCTCAAAATTTTTAAAAAACTCCTTCAAAATTTAAAAATCATAAAAAAACTCTAAATTTTCAAAATTTTTAATATATATATATATATATATATTAAAATTTCTAATTTAGGGATTTACTATCCATTTTCAGCATCTAAGAATAGTCTAAGTTGATACTGATAAACAAAAAACAATAAGAATTGATTAAAAACATCCGGTTAATGGATAAAATTTTTAAAAATATTATAGATTAAAAATTATCATCACTATGTAAATTAAAGTAATTTTATATAATTTTAGTAATATGCAGGGGTAGCCAAAATACATTCGTAACATTAATTGATAGATGTTTAAATCCATAGAAATGATAAAACACTATAATATTATACCTTAGCATTAATTGATTTTAATTTAAAAACTTTAATCTTTGATGTTAATAATATTTATAGGGTAAAAGAATACAAGGAATTACATATGGAGAAACTATTAGAATATTTAGAGATAACTTTAAAAGAATTGAGTTATTTCCATTGCAAATGGGAAAGTGATGGAAATAAATCTAAAATTCAGAAAACGTCAATGAATCACTTGAATTGGCATTAACATAAGACATATCTATTAATGAAGCACTGAATGAGTTACATTAAAAAATAATTTAATAACTTTATCCTAATCAAAGAAAAAATCTCCATGGAAGACATAAGAAAAATTAGTAAGTATTTATAAATTCCATATTGTGTTCTTCAAATTAAATATTAATATTATAATCTAAGAGAAATTGGTAATGAATAATGAAGGTATTTAGTTTAGATCTTTATGGAAAATGACAGGGATAGAGCAAAGGTAATATTATTGAAATAATAGAAATTCTTATTGGATGCACATCAGAAGAATTTTAGAGGAAAATAAAGAGATTGCTTCTAATTTATTTAAGTAATAAATTAGGAACACAAAGAATTTTATATATATGAAATTAATATTTATTCTCATTGAAATAGAAAAAAAAATCAAAGTCTATATTTTGAGCAGTTTGTGTTGAACATCATAAGTACATTTGACTTCTTTGTAAAGTTAAATGAGATGATAAAAAATTAACGAGCCTAGGAAAGATAATAGCATAAAAAATACAAAATTAGCCTGATGTCACAATTGATGTAGATGATGAAGACAATACTCTAGAATTGCCCGAGAAATGATAAATGATAAAGCTGAAGAAGGATTGATCTTAACTCAATAAAAAATAAAATAGAAGAAATAAAAAACAATATTTTCTAAATATTTTATAGAATAGTTTAATTATTTTAAGTGAAATTAGGAATCTTTAGAAGGGAGTTTCATGAATTTTTTTCAGTACTTTTATATTGTTATGTGGATGTTTTTATCATATAAAAGTATACTAGAGTTAGCATTAATCTTTAATTTATATTTTTTTATGAAGTCTATCAATGATTATGAATAAACTTCATATTCTCTTTTGCATCGTTTTAACATACTTTAAATCAATCATTTTGCCATATTGGTTTTAAATATTCACCTTCCTTGTATAACACTATTTTAATATTTTTCACTTTGCAATGCTATACTTTCTCAAATAAAGCTTAGTTTCATATCGGTCAAAAATAATATGAAAATTCAAATTATTTTTAAATTATATTTGTTTTTTGTCAATTCAAATATCAACATGAAAATTTAAATTGGGTGTATCCCATTTAAACAAACATAAAAAAATAATCGGGATGTAAGAGTTTAAAGAAAAAAATGAGCACAAACTGCCAAAAATACTTAATCATGGTATTAAATCACGTGCATTGCACGTGTATAAAAACTAGTATTTTAAAAATTGTAAAAATAACATTAGAAGTTTAAATGCTAAATTACATTTATATACCCTATGTGTTTCGCTCCCCTTTTTACATTTCGATGCCCAGAATGTAAATGAAGCCTGTTTCTATCTTGGGCCTCTGGCTCTTCTACTCATTGTAATGTCAGACCCAATCGTACCAAAAAAACACGACAAATATCTCATATCCTTCTTCTCTCGACCCTACCTAAATCGGTAAATCCCCTCTCCATCTACCCCATATCCCTTCTCTCCTTCCCTCCCTCCCTCCCTTATCCTCACTCCTTTCCTCCTCCTTCAACTCCTTAGAATGTCTACTTCTTGCTCAACCTCCCTTCTTAAACCCCTCTTCCTTCCAACCATTTCCTCCCTCCTCCCTCCCAAAACCCCTTTCCTCTCTCTCCCCTCCAAACCCCTCCTTCACCTCCTCCCTCCCCTTTCCCTCAAAAAGAGATACACCCAAAAACTCACCCCCTTTGTTACCCAGACCTCTGATTGGGCCCAGCAAGGAGACAGTCAACTCACCACTGATCAAGAAGCAGCAGGATGGGAAGGCGAAGGTGAGAGCGATGGCGAAGGAGGTGTTGTTGTTGCTGAAGGGGAGGATGCTTTTGTGGAGGGAGAGGGAGGGGATGAGGTTGGAGTAGAGGAGGTGGAAGGAGGAGAGGAGGAGGAGGAGAGCTATCCTGAGCCGCCGGAGGATGCAAAGTTGTTTGTGGGGAATTTGCCTTATGATGTTGATAGTCAGAGGCTGGCCGAGTTATTTGAGAAGGCTGGGATTGTTGAGGTTGCAGAGGTATAACTTTTCTCCATTCTTTTTGTACAGTGAATATCTTAAATTGCTTATATTTCAAGTGATGGGTTCTTATAAAGTTTGCAGTTAGGTGATATTTTGTGCTTTGTAATGGGTAAAGGTGTGGGATTTAAACTTGCTTTCAGACTATGA